AGTAACACTATATACCAGAAGCATTCACATAAAAATTATCTATGTACACCAATTATTGGACGATTACAAGCAGAGTTGCAATCGAGTCAATCACAAGTCACAAGTCAGGTCACATGACAGGGAATAAACCTGACTGATGTCTCTGTTACAATCTTTTCGATAGACTGTGACTTGCCTTAAAACTGGATGACTTGTGATGACCTGTGATGACTTGTGACTGACTTCGATTAACTCCGACTGAAACAAATTTTCAGCAAAATTTACAAAGCTTATAATATATGCAAATATATATCATAACTTATATCCAACATTTCATATAATGTAAGTTAGGCTTGTTCTCACAAACCTCACGTAGCCGCATTTGTAATAAATATGTGCAAAGTAGACGTTGCAATTACGTCAGGCCCATTCTTGCAATTCTTGCAGATAAATCAAATAATTCGTGCTGAAACCTCCAGCTGAAGTAAAGAGTTAGCACTGTCGAAAGAAGTGAAGTACTTGTGGCAGTTCAAGACTGCAAATTTTGTTATGAAATTTTGTATCTGTCATGATATATTTATGTCATTTTCCAATTTTAAGTGTTCAAAAAGAGCCTAACACTGCACATTCAACTTTGTTTTCGGAGGTTCTGCTCGATTCTCCGGCTGAACAATTTCGGTTTTCTTGCTCTAGGCCTCTGACGGTTTTGTTGCGAAATAACTGTGAAGTCAATTTTCGAAGCTGTCGGAGTGGATAATCTTGCTGTCATATTTTGAAGAGTTGAGAAATACTCTGACATTTTGTGACATGTTTTGTCCAAATAAAAGGTGACAAATGATGTTTTAAGGTACAGTTGCCTTCCGGTCAAATATGCCGTTATGAAAGACGGATACCTAGGGAGAGCCTGTGAAAATTGTTCTTCGAAATAAAAAAAGACATTTTATTGATTGCGGGTGATTATGATGCTGTCCTTGTGACGATATTTTTTCAGAGGGACGTTGGACTGAAGAATTACTTGATGTTCTCCTCTCTGCATCAGTTTTGATTTTGATTTTGTTTTTGCCTAATGTTTAAATACGAAGAATCATGCATGGTGTTTAATCAATGACAAAGCGATATATTCACATTTTTACGATCATATTCACTACTACTATACAGTTTTAGTTATTCTCTATATCTTCTCCACTTTCCTTTATTCACACTATGCATGTATAGGCCTTTACTGGCAAAGTATTTAAACGTGGCCATCTACAAACGATTTTCAAGAAAGAGTTTAGTCAATTTTAGAGTTCAGACTGTTTAGATCGTTTATGATTTCCCCCACGCTGTACTACCCGTCTGGAGTTGAGTTTCCCTTGCCCCCATGCATATTTCCTCCAATAAGCCTCTGTACTGGTGACGTCACGCTTTGTTTTTAATTATGCGCTTTTCTATGGGGCTACGAAACCATCGTCCCCACCATGCAGGCTCCCATAAGAAAGCACACATTTAAACAAAGTGTGACGTCATCAGTACAGAGGCTTTTGTTGTATCCATGACATGGTGACATTATGAATCATGGTCACAATGTGAATCACTTCATGGCGGTGTAAGCGATTCTCCAGTTCTTTCGCTCAAGTTAACATGCATGGCGCTCAGACCTGCATTCTCAGGAGTGTTAAGACAATTTACCAGGTTGTTTTTGTATGTACAAACCAAATAAACAGTACACAATTTTACACTAGTTACAACCTAACCAGTACTAGAAAGAAAGAAGCAATCTCCCCCTATAGATAAAAGGGGATATATTTCTAAATGACTTCTGATCAATCTCTATACTTCCTTTACTGTCGTTTGACATCTCTCCCAGATTGTGCTCCAGTGCCTCCGCCATACAACCTGGCAGCTCAGGTCCTCAGGGGATGTTTCCTCCTAAATTGATGAATAATTTTATTTCTTCGTGAGATGGGTAGAGATGTGTGGGGTTGAATGACCGAGTGAATGGGTCGCAATCAATGGTATGGACACGGTGCGAACACACACACCTCTGGAGTCACCTCAGACAACGACAGAATTACAACAAACGCGGGGAACCTAATGAATGTTCCAACGTTTTTTAATACAAACTATGTAAATCTTTGCCAAATCATTTTTTGGAATAACAGTTCTGTTAAAAAGCGGGGTTTTTTAAAATTTGATTATTGTGATTATTCATGGAATCATGGGCATACAAACGTCATTCATGTAACTTTACCTAGAGGCACCGACGTTTTTAATGGACATTCTCGGGATTTTGTTAAGTACATGTCTCCAAATTCAACTTTACGTATTTAAAAAAAGGCTGCCAATGTTCTGTAATTTATTTATTTCATATCTATTGGTATCTTGCATTGTAATCAATCTTTATTTTGTTTTATTTTTTTTAAGTTACCAGTCTCTCTTTCCCCATCTACAGCAGTTGCTTTTTGGCGTTGATTTCTCCACCGCTTGTCTGACATCCATGTCTCCATCTTCTCATTTATTCCAATGACCCACATCGTTCTCCTTCAAACTCTGTGTTCTCTGTACATTCTTCCCAGTCCCGTCACCCTCTCCATCTTTGTCTCGTCCCATCCAGTCCTAACATCCGTCGGTCTCTTCCTGTACTTGATATCTAACCGCGCAAGTCTCTATTTACCAAGCTCTCACAGGTCTGAACAAGCAGTCCTCAGCGTTCGCTCCTCATCATCCCGTCACATCGCCGACAAGGGAGCCATTTCCCTCAAAGACAACCAAATCAAAATGGAGGACCTCCTGTTTACTTGACAGCTTCTCCTGCACAGTTTACTCAAATTGCAGGCGGTTTACTCAAGCCCCTCCATGGGTCAATACACCCAATCTCTCCGGCCTAATTTTCCGGTCTTTAAGAGCGCGCGGTAGGTAAGACGATCGCCGGATCCTCTCTATTTGCCCGAGCTGTCGTGCAATTGACCGTCTGTGATATTGAAATTCCGATGATTTACCTGAGGTGTTGGCTGGGGGTAAATGCCGGCAAAGAGAATCTGATAGACGCCAAAACCAGTCCAATGCTCCAAATGCATCTACTGTATATTCTGCTTCATAATGCCCACACGATGTCTAATAGAATTGGTTTATATTTCCATGTGAGTAAAATTATTCTCCTGCTAAGGAATGATGGGGATTATTTCTGTGAAAATGCAAGCTTTTACTTTCCGAGATCCATATTTCCCGGCGTTGGCAACGGTAACAAAACAATATTCAAGATTAATTATTAATTGCCTGTGGTTTAAGGTAATACTTCTTGCACTTTCATATATCTCTGAATTTTGAATGGAATATATCATGCATAACTCGATACACACGGACTTAAACATACATTAATAAATTTCATTGCAGCGAACAGCCGTCGATGGCAAATCTTTTGATTCTATTTCTACCATTCAGATAACCAAAAAAAATGGCGGGAATGTTCCATCAAGACGTTAAAAGCTCTTTCCATGAATGCAATTGATGAGCGACAGAGTGGAGGGAAATTACGTATTGTTAAGGTGATTTATGAGAGGAAAATACCGGGTCGTTGATGATGGACACAGACGAGAGACGCATTAATTTTACACGACTGAGCATGAAAGGCACTTTTAAATATGAATGAACTGCATTTGGAACACAATAATTTTTTTTTTTAAATATAATTATCCATTTACCACTTAAGGAAAATGCATGCATCGGGAGTGTTTTTCTTTTGTTTTTTTGGGTTTTTTTTAGTTTCAATGGTAGTCACAATATGTCTTGCGATATAAAATATCAGCGTGGTCGAAATGCTAATTAAAAACATACTAACTCCAATGCATTTTTATCATGTTTACATGGAAAGCTCATTGGAACATATTTTATCGTGGAATTTGCGCAATATTGCGCGAACTTAGTTTAAAAATCAATCATTGACAGCAAGCTAGATTGGAGTGAACATTCCAGAGTTCTCACAGCAAAGAGAAATAAGAGGTTATATTTTCTGCGTAAGCTACGTTCTTTTCGGGTCGATAGGGTCATTATGAGTCTGTTTTACACCTCGGCCATAGAAAGTGTCATCATTCACGACTGTGTAGTTTGGTACAATGGAACAATGAAAAAGGACAAAGACAAACTGAAAAGGGTTGTGAAACAAGCATCAAAGATTGTGGGAATGGGAATAAATTTGGATTAAGTCTGCAGGGAGAGGGTACTAACTAAGGCTCTACGGGTGGTGGAAAATGGTGCGCATCCCCTCAACACATGCTTCAAAATGCTTAGTAGTGGTAGAAGATTTCAGTCAGTAAGGGCAAGAACCAACCGGTGTCTCATTTCATTTGTACCGTTTTCCATACGTCTCCGCAATGATCAGCATTGATGCAACAAACATCTTTAACTACACGTATCTTATCATTATTCTCATCTCCAATGCAGTCATGTTTTCATTTTCATACTGTTTTTCAGGATCTGTCATTTTGACTGATATGCTTAAATATTTATTTTTCATAGTAATCATAAGCATTATTTTAGTAATTTGCTTATTTATATTGTATGGATGATATTAATGAATTATCTATATATGTATTGCATGTGACAAAACAAATTTCCTGGAAGGAGAAATAAATTGAAATTGAAATTGAAATTGAAAATAAACAATGTAATAAATTCATAAAAGCCTTGGTATATTATGTTTGTGGATTTTCGGGATAAATTATAGTGTACTTTGTGTTTGAGCTCCTATCTAGCAATCGCAAATGAAAATTCTTGCATATGGTCATAAAAAAACAGCTTGATCAGCAATAGGCTATGGAACGTCCTTGTTCAATGTAGTTATTTCAGGGGGAAAAAGATAGTAGATATGACTTATGGCTATAGAATAAAGTAATCGTGTTTGAGGATAAGTCCTGAGCATTATATCCATATGCATGCATTTTGCCAATGTCCTAGTTACTGGCAGTACCATCCGTGTTCATTGTGTGGTAGACAGGCTTCCTGTTTGCCTCTGTAATCCCTTCCTTTAGCTCCAGTCCGCCGCGCATGCCACTACGAGCTAAATAAGAGAATAGACCGAGTCCGCACGCACGTTGCCACTCAGATCAAGAGCTCGTGTTCACATCCATTGCCGGTTAGTATAGCAACCGTGTACGGAGGCAGTTGCCAACCACCTGCGCTTGTTCAAGATGTTCCCCCATGATGATGTGATGAAGGCATCACCGTTGTCTGTTTTGTGTGTATGTGTGCAAGAGGACCCGTGGACATACACACATACGCACAGCGGCTAATTAAAAGGGAAAGTCCGAACGCTAAATGGTTCAGTCTTTCAGCCAGGCACGCACAGCATCATGTGCTGTGTGCGGACCGCTCAAAACGGCATCTCTCGTGGTAAACTATGGAGTACATGGAAGCAGGTGCTGAAGAAAACACATGTGATATACCATCGTGAGCCTCAGGTCGACTAGATCGAACGCGCAGCGACACTATCACCGACTGAGGATCTACATGCCCTGGGCAAAGCTAGCAAATTAGTACTGGCTGTACTTTTCTGTGTGTGGCAGGATTGGCAACTGCTTCTTGCAACTTTTTTGAACAAGATACTGTCCCTTGCTGATGCGTAGTGATGCTCAACTTGGACTAGCGGCCGGAAATGGATGCGGGAACTGAAAACAGATGAACACGGAATGCAGTTGGACTTCTCATGATGCTGATAATCATCAACAGCGGAAATCCTCACATTGCTTAAGGATGTGCTGTTAATGAAAGTCCATAAGCAGGTGGACTTAGCACAACCGAAGGAGCTCTTCGTTTCAAGTTTGTACTAGAGCCATGCGTCTGCGTCAGAAGACTCCCCATAGCAATAGTATCTGAAGGGAGACGCCATAAATCATTTTCAAGACATTAAACCGTGTTTTCGTCGTTCACAACAGAAAAACTATTGACCTTACACAATCTGCTCCATAAGTTGACGCAACGTCGAGCTTGCTATCGTCATCATTAGATCACTGGATAAGTACGAAGTAACATCCCAACTGTGCCGGCCACCGATTTGCAATTCCTCAGGCCGCCCGCGAGAGAGGAGAGGCGGGTGATTATAACTCTCCCCCGGGATACAATCGAGATTTCAAAACAAGTTGGTTCCGCCAGAACCTAATAAAAGTGTGCTACTTGTTTGGTCGTGTTGTGTGGTTCCTGCGCTGGAGTCAACCACGTGCACCGCGTGTATAATTTCAGTCTCAAGTACTTCTCGCGCCCTTATGGCGTGTTTGTGTACAGCGTGTGTGAAGTTGAGGTTAATCACAAGACATGGATCAGGACTGATACAGTTTTTGTCCTGAACCAGATTTGATGCACGGCAAAATGGAACTGGCGCTAGGAGCTCGCTATTTGGACCCACGCTTCGCCCTGTTTGTGTATATGGTGGCTGGATGGGTGATAGCAGTTCGTACTCTCGAATCTGACATCTATGGTGGACAAGGTAAGGCTAGCAATTTAACTTGCCTTCCCCGTGCATGCTCTTCAACGAATTCAAATTTTCAACTTACATTCAATTTTTAACTTGTATGTTTTATTCCAATTAACCAACAAAACCCCTACATTTTTTTCCTTCTTTGAACATCTGCAACCGGCCCTCTTAGAAAAAGCTTCTTTCTTTGGGGAGGTGGGGGGCACAAACATACTGCTGTGCGAGCAGACTGGCTCCCGGTCCGTACATTATCGATACTGTTTGAGGGCAGGAACCAGCTATACCCCGCGGGAACCGAATTATTGTCCGGCAGCCAATAATTCGAAATTGTAAAGTAATAATTCATTAAGTAATGATGGTCCATTTTCCCCATCGATATCTCATTCAAGAGTGAATAACTTGCTAGAGAAACAGTAATAACCAGAAAAGGAATGAATGAAACTCGGAAATAGCACTGGGAATCATTGGTTGATTTCTAACAGAAAGTGAAGACTAGTCTGATCAATGTAAAGACGTGTACACTGTCTAGAATCGACAACCCGAACTTGTGGTAAATGATCAGAGTGGATTAACAATGCATTTATTTAGTGTTTACAGGGTGTGACGATATTGACCACAATGGGGCACAGAAGTAAATCTTATTAAGTTAATGTTTCAGTATTTATTGAGTCCTTTGTCATTTTCCATCAACCTTAAATGCCCTGATCAATCTCGGCTATATAGTAATAATTATAAGGGTGTCCCACAAAAAGCGGGCCCGGACAAATCAGCGGCCATTTCTAAAAAATCTATTCACGTCAGACTACTTGTTTTTTTTCCATGCTGTTGATGTTGTTTTACTATGAAGAAATAAACTGAGTTGATTCAACACTTTTAAAGCTATGACTAGAAACTTAAGGGCCTTTAAAAATTCGAAATTGACACATTTTGACGTCAACAATCAACATAACATAACATTACATTACATTATACAGATCCTGTGGGGTTTTTTTAACTTTCGTCGTGCAGAATTTTGCGGCTTTTTAATGAATTTGTTTGTTGAAATATTATATTCAAGGGGCAATATTTAATTTTATCAGAATCAGATATATTTATGAACATTACAAATAAATGTGTGATGCAATGAAGACATAACTCTTCTTGTGTGCATGTGAAATGTGTTCGTGTGTGCTATAGGTTCGTGGTGGTCTTCCTCTCTCCACTAATTTTCCAGCACAAGCTGATGCCGCAAAAAGTGTAAATCTCCGTTTTTATTGAGCTCTTAGGTTTCTAGTCATGGCTTTAAAAGTTTTCAATCCACTCAGTTTGTTTTTTCCACAGGCAATAAACAACATCAACACTATGAAAAAATACTAACAAGATTTAGTCTCACATGCATATTTGTTTAGATATGGCCGCTGATTTGTTCAGGCCCGCTTTTTGTGGGACACACTGTAGTCAAGAATGGGTGATTTCATCCATGCCATGGTAGCGAGGGGTAGATTCATCACTAAGTACGAGACTGTTTTGTTTTAGATGTTGTCCTTAAATCAATGCTTAGTACCAATGTGTTCCCATCTGCTTCCGTAGGACGGTATAAGGTCTTTATAGGCCTTTTCACACTGTCCAAAATCTCCGGGTTGGAACCGGTTCCAACCCCGAGATTTTTTTCAACCCTTTTCCCACTTCTAAAGTTTCAACCCGGTTCCGACCCGGGTAGAGTGCTCTAGCCGGATCGAAATCAACCCTGGGAGGGACCAGGGTTGAAAATCTCAACCCGGATCGAAATTGCATTTTTCGGCGTGAACCGTGTCGAAAATGATAGTGTGAACCGCCCCGGGTTGAGTCACTCACGGCCGATCCGTGTTGAGTTGAGGCCGACATTTTACCGAAAATCTGACACGCCGAGCATAATATTTCCCTCCACCACTATCGCCGTCACAAACACCGATCCCGAAACAATCGCTCCCTAATTATCATCCAATAATGTATCGGTGTATGGAGCATCCTTTACCGAGTCTGGGCTTGTATTAAGTCCGCAAAATGTACCCCAAAAATGTTCATTTCTAATGTTAAATAGAACGAATCGTCTAACGAAATGACCGGAGCCATTTTGGAAATATTGCACACAGCTGCGCTGGTGTCGTACAAAAATCGGACTCCCAAATCGGATTCGTTTACTCTCTTATTATTGGTCAAACCCTTTCACGTGACAGGTCCTTCTCCCAATAGGCATGCGCAATACTACCAATGAGTCCGTATTTCACAGAGTAGTAAATTCACGCTGCACACCGGCCTGTCCGTAAGCCTCGTGCGTCGCAATGCATTATGGGATTGAGAAAATCATCGCAGCGCCCTGTGCTGAATGCGATCCGTGTCGAGAATTTGTAGTGTGAATTCACAGGGGCCGTAGCCGGATTGAACGTTACACGGTTCACGTAGCGGCCGTTCCCGTAAAGGACAGTGTGAACGTCGCGTCTCTCCGATCCGTGTCGAAAAATACTCGGGCTGAACCGGGTTGGATCCGGGTAGGTTTCAACACGGTTCGAAACGGAGATAGTGTGAAAAGGCCTTTATATCCGTTCACACTTGTCCTTGATCCCAATTCCATTCGTCTTCCATCATCGTCAGTTCCCTCCCGTCCCATTTGCTCCCTGTCATCCCTGCAACACGTTGGCTTTATCTTTGCTGTAATACGATAATTGTAAATGACTATACGTAGAGCGTGTACGTACACGCCGTGTAGACATCTTTAAAGTGAGTGTTGGTAAACAAATAATCACCCATTGTTCCAAATATACAACAGTGTATCGGTAGTAATAGTACAAACCTACCTTAATATAAAGAAATGTGTTTTCGTTTTCTTTTTGCATAGCGCGGGTATGTTGTCAACGATGGTTTCTAATTTGGGATGTTCTGGGCTAGACCTTGCTTCCTACAAATAATGGTGGCTGAATTACAGCTTAATGTGGTGATGGATTAGACGCTAACTGAACTCGCATTGCAAGGTATCCCTTGGCAAATCTTGATATCTTGTCGTTCAGATTATATGCACACGCAAGAGGAATGGTCTTTCAGATCAGTACCGGTGCTGTCGATGCATTATACATGTAAACATCGTCCACAGATTCACTTCTTCAAATGTCCTTCATAAACTATGATCTGTATCGTTGTTATGGCAACTATAATGAAGGATTCAATGGGCCGAAAATTGGCTTTTGCACTGGCCTGGTTTTTTTTTCAAACATGCTTGAAGGAAAGGGTTTCCACACAAGCTTCGATTCAAATTTATATGGTAGTAATAATAGTTGGTTTTGTTTTTACTAAGAAACGATCTCTCTTTTTCTTTCTTTTTTTCAGTAAATAAACGACTAGTCTGAAGTAAGTGAAACCACGCTTTGGAACAATATAGATTTTCACATGATTTTAGTCATTATGCGAGACTGTCATTACAGGATTTAAACTTGTGGGTATAATTTGAAAGATGACATATGACGTTTTGCTGGTCTTAAATCCATATAGGATGAAGCAGTACTGTTATGTACCACCCTGTACAACACTAAAGAACATAAAATCAAATTATTAGAGCTGATTGTTTAATTAAGACAGTGTTTAGGTAGGCCTATACAGGGTGAGTCAAAAAAAGCGGAACCCAAACCCCATAAAATATATTTCATATTTAAAAAGATGTGTAGCACCAAAAATAATAATGACTGGAAAGCCAATTTCACAAGCTACTTTTAGATGAAAAGATGACTGAATTTGCTCAATCCGTTCAAAGAATATCACCATTTAAACACCATGACCCTAAAACCTGTCTCGTCCACACAAAAAAACAATTCATTGTGTGTTTTGACTGTTTGGAACAACAAAGAAAATGACACAGAATTCTTGTTTCAACAACGTCACCAACTGTAGTACACAATATCGTTTTAACAAGCCTGGTTAGGCAAACAATATGATTTATAAAATCTACTTTTTTTTTAAAGGACAGACCTTCAAAGGGATTCTGTTGAATATTTTTAACGTTTAAACTGAGTTTGTATCGCTGGTGATGTTTTTTTGAGCGGATTGAGCAATTTCAGTAATTTTTTCATCTAAAAGTACATTATGAAATTGGCTTTCCATTCATTATTATTTTTGATGCTACATATTTGTTTAAATATGAAATATAATTGTTGGGGTTTGGGTTCCGCTTTTTTGACTCGCCCTGTACAAACACAGAGGATAAAGCAACATTCAATCTCATGTCTAGTAGAGCTTTATATGTAAACCACTGTCCTTTGCTAAATTAATACGGTATCAAATGAGGGTATGTATCAACACAGACAATACAGAAACATTCCATTCGGTAGCATCGTTTTTAGGTCCCACGATACGCCAATTTGCCATGTAAAGAACGTGCTCCAAGCCGACCATTTCAGCGCTATTCCGAACGCTGTTCCATGCGAGTTCTCCTGGGTATATACGGTTAGAGGCATATTTGGATTGTATGCCGCTCTCCTATAATCAATTTCTTGGGCTACCGTCGCGGGGCCCCCTCCACACATCTCCTCCGATTCTCGATATCTCGCGGAGGATGGTAACATTTTCTCAAATTTCAAGGATTTGGCTCTTCCAATTCCCGAGCCACCAAGCCTGCCACAGAAACCGTTCTAAAACATATCAAGTCGATTGGATAGATTAAAGTAAATTAATGATTTGATTGTGAGCGCGTTCCTAATTTAATTCAATTTTAAGGTTTTTCTCTCTATGTGCATTTATTATTGTACTTGATTTCAAGTGAAGATCGAACATATTTTTATCATCGCATTTAGTTGTCGTCCCCAGTCTATATGTGGCATGGTGACTGAAAATGGCGCGCCGTTGAAGGTTCCTATTGATTGGACTGTGGTATCCCTACCAAACCAAAGCGGCAACAACATGGCTCCCATGCCGCCATAACGGTAATTTCATTCTCCATAGCAACGGCCAGGTGCTGGTTAATGGCGGTTGACATGTCCTTAATCAGCTCCAAGGGCGAGTCAATAGTT